GAGACAGATGCAACTGATATTTTGTATCTATCTTTTTTGTCAGGTACATAGCTTCTGCACACTGAATATACTAATATTTGATCACAAATTGAAGAGGAATATGAACCTCTTCCACTGGTGCTGTCCCTAATCTCTGCTGTTCTGTTACATTGACTTATTCTGACTGTGACTTTTAGTCTTTTTTCTACAATTCTGATGTTTGTTAAGCATGATGGGAAGTTATTTTTTATCTTTGTTTTCTGGACCACTGTTTATTGAATACCCTCCTGTTTTTTATGGGAAGCAAGAATGAAGTTGTTCCCTCTAGTCTTATGGTCCTACATTTACTCACACCTAAAAGTGAAGCTGCCCACAGACCATGCAGACGTGCAGGATTGATTCAGAATTGCCTTTTAAAATGATGCACAATCCCGTACAATCTACAGGAACTTGTAAAATTACCTTGTTAATATTGCCACTTTCCCCTGTGAAAATACTCTTTTTTCATTTGTTTTAATTCCTTTCTTATATGGATTTTTTCAAGTTGCAGTAAAATCTTGATTGGCTACCTCTTTATCAGAATAGACAACTGAATGATTTAGCATCCCACAACAGAGTTCTGTGAGTCATTGTAGTCAGAAACATCAGTACATCATTGAAAATTGTTTAATAGATAATTACGCCTACAGAATCAGTGCTGAGAGCAGGAAACTTGGCATGCTGGTTATTTTTTTTCTCTCCTGTTAAAAGAGGCCAAGACTCTATAAACTGCTGTGATCGTAAAAGTGGTTTAATCATGGAGTCAAGATGATTGTGATGGTTGAAAGGAACAAGGTTAAAAGAAATTTCAGCGACTGCTGGGAACTTTTTAAACCAATAAAGTGGATTTTATTCCCCAGTTCTTGAGCATACCTGGCACTCAAGGGAGTATGCCTCAAGTGATTTTCTTTTTATTTCGTTTTGGCTATATGACATGGTTTAGAAGGCACCAAGTGACTGGCAGTACATGAATTCAGCCTTCGACAGCGTATACAGCGCTGACTCTGAAGTGTTTTATCTTGTCCCTCGGCACTGTCTATTAACTTCACTGCCATGCCTGCACTCTAGCTGAGCTTTTTGCAACATCAGCATGGTGATTTTGCATCATCCACCATATATTGTGTAGACACAATCTATTTCTTGTAGCATCAGGTTTAACTGAATTGATGTCAGACTACTGGCTTTCTTTTACATGCAGTTTTACCCGAGTGATTCAGTGTTCGTCATTTATTCCAGCCCCAGAAATCTTCCTCACTGAAATGCAAAACCCGTTTGAGGCAGATTCCATTACCAGTAGGTGTTAAATGGCATCTTATCCAAGTTTCATAAAAGGCTCCATGCCATGAGAATGTAAGGCAGCACGCATCTTCGGATCTGCTTGTGAACATCGCAGCCAAATCCCTGCCATATGTTGGGTGAATTAGGTCCATGGAAGTTGCTGGACCCAGGAGCACCCTCAGAGCTAGGGCTGAACGCAGGTCCATGGAGAAGGTCTGTGTCAAGTCTAAATCTGTTACTCCCAAAATAACCTTATGTTTAAGAAGGGGTGGTAGAACTGATCAGTCTCTTTTTTCTGGCTGTAAGTATTTTCCTCAAATTTCTATGCAAGTATCTTCTTTTTTACAAGGTCTTTACCATGCATTAATACTTAAATTACTGGGGTAAATCCCTCAAAATACTATTGATCTTCTATCACCCTTGATTCTTTCCAGTTAATCTAGGTAATGATAAGGGCTCCTTTATAACTGAATAAGCTATTACCTTTTTTAAGAGATGTGTTATATTCTTGTTCTTATCCTGGTGACTTTCACCTCTTTGTTTGTTTTAAAACACAGTCACCTCTGTAATTAGAATATATAATATTCTATCCTAGATTTGAGTCCACAAAGCAGAGCTTTCTTAAGCTGTTTTTCTTTGCAATTGCCATAGAAAAAAATACCTTTGAAAATGCTTTTAGTGCTAAAATAGCTAGTTCACATTTCACATTGGGAACTTTGCTTCCTACTGAAGTACATTAAATAAAAAAGATTTCAGCACCTCCTTCATCATATGTAATCATTGCACAGTTGTAATATTTTTATTTTTTCCTAAGCTCTGACTTGAAAAAATTAAAACATAAAAGAACCCAGACACAAAGGGCCAATTAATTCCTGGTGTATCCATATGCATTGAATGGAGCTACCACAGGTGTGATGTTAGCCCCATGGGGATTTTGTATGTAAGAAAGCTGCAGGGATTTGAAAGCTTAAAGCCAGAGCTCAATTTGTGACTCAGAGTATGGATACTGATCAAGAAAGCCTCTAAAAGGAAAGATTCTGTCTGCTAAAACAGAGAAGTAAATGAAATTGTATAGCTTATACGTACTGACATCCAGATAAGCGTATAGAGCAGGCTGGTATATAGCAGAACAAAGGCAGGCTTTTTCACCTCATGACACTCAAAGAACATAGGTTAAACAGTATGTATATTAAATGGGTATTTAAAAATTAAATTGTTTTAATTTCATTTTCATGAGTATCTAACCAAATCTTCCCTTCATTAAGTAGGACTTTTCTTTTTTTCAAGTTTCAGTTTCTACCATAGTATTAAACTCTTTCGCAGGTTAGTTCTGGCTGGCTTTTTTTGTCATTGTTTTGCTTCTTGAATTGTAGTGGTTGATTTGTTGTGCATTAGAGATGGAGGCTGGGTCATGGAAAGGAGCCAGTGTGGCAATATAATATCCCATGGTTAAAGCCATGTTTTCATTAGAAACTGCTCTTTCTGTGTAAACAGGGGAAAAAAATTTCCACATAAATTCTCATCCAAAAAACCTTCCCTAGATTATTATCTGGAAAAAAAAGCAAAATTGGCAATGAAGCTGAAAGAGCACTAGATATATGCATAACTAGATCAAAGAAAATGTATTTGCTGTTGCATTATATCTTCCATTTCCCAAAAAGTAAAATATGAAGATACATAGTATATGTAAAACGCAAATAATCAGTGGTTGGTTTCTGTTTGACTGTGCTTTCTAATTTGCTTTTGGACATGGTGTTCACTTATTTATTAACAATTTTGTAAATATATGAAAATTTTTTTTACTCGCCTGTTTATTAATTCTTAAATTCCCTACAGATAGTGAAATCTGCATAAGAGACTTCCAGAAACATTTATGTCTGCCTGGTTACTATTCTATGTTAACTATGTTTTTAACTACATTTTAAAATGTAGTTAGGGGGCTGATAGTAGTCTCTGGAGCTGTCCTTTTACAAAGATAATATCTTTTTTTTTTCTCTGGGAAACAAGGAATGGAGGAAGAAAATGTTTCCCAAGACTGTAAAAAGGCCTGAATCTCTTCTAATTTATACCTGTCTAAATTCCCAATGTGACTCTATTCTCCCCAATGCAATCGCAAAAGTTCCTGAGTTTTCCTGATATATGTGAGCAAGATCCTGTAAAAAGATTAATTTTATTGGCAGCTTCTGCTCTCTCAATGGGTCTAAACCTCTAAAACAACCTATTGTTATTCTAAAGGCGTATGAGTGCTTATTAATTACTTATAGGAAGAACTATCGTAAAAGTACACTGAAATTTCTTTTGCCTCAAGAAGAAAAATATCAAAACCGCAACTATTTCAGATAAGTAGTAGAGACTAGAACCCCTCAAAAAAACCGCAGTAAAATTCTTTCTCCACTTTCCCATTGTGTACACAGTAAGATACTGAAACACTGAAGTTTGATCATCTTACATCCTTATTAGAGGCTAGATAACATTACCAAGTGAAAGAAAATCTTGAAACCACATTGTTAAGAATAAAGGGATTAAAGTATTTGGACAGCAGATACCTGATCTGTCTCTGACTCCATGTATTCTTGTACTGGAGCTGCTATCCCAAATTGTAGGGAGTGCACTGGGTCAGCTCCACTAACTGGGGAGTAGAGATGAGATTCATTTAGATGAAGCAAGTGCTAATGTAGTTTAATGTATTATTTACATTATCCTGTTTGTTTACTCTCTAGTATTTCCATTCATCTGCTTTTATCACACATCCGCCTGCACCTTCACCCAATTCTCACTGTAAGCTCTTTGTTAAGCTTCGTTTGGTGCAAAAGTTACAGACTTCTGCCTGCCAGCAAGAGGGTGGAAGTGCAATGGTCACAGATTGCTTCTTGGTTGACTTCATTTCAGGGACAAGGCTGATGATGGTGGTATTGCTTGATTTGAATATAACATTCTGAATTTTGTGAGAATATAGTTGGCTTCCCCATATCATAGATGGATAAAGAATGCAAAATTAAGGTTGTCTGAATATTATTGAGCTCTCCGTACCTCTTGTTTTGTAATTCAAGGTGTTGCGGTCAACTCAGACAAGTACAAAGGGAATGTTCATATCCACTGATAGCCACTGATATTTTACTATTGACTGTTTTGGGATTAGCATTTCAACCATGATTTTGAGATATATGAATTTTCAGTGAGAATCAAGTAAAGGCCTATTTGTTTGCTTTACAGAACATCTCTGTATTTTTACTTTCACAGAGAAATTTAACCTGAAGTTAACTTAAGCTTTTTTGTATGGGATTGCAAACTGGCTTCTAATAGAACAGAATATTCAGCCTTTGGTAAATTATCACACTGTTGCATTTGCTTTTTAGGAAGGAAATATACAGCAGTAATCCTATATGACAGTAATATGCTATATCCCAGTAATAAACCAGTAATGTCCTATATATCAACTATATATATATATGTTTGTGTACAAATACACATGAAGACGTAAGCATAATACAGGCTTTTGGTTCCATTTGTTTCATTTATTTGTGTGCGTATATACATGAAATGAGTGGAAGATTAAAGGAATCAATGTAAGAGTAAAGATAATAATTGAAATATGACTACATTTTTTCCTTTCTGTCATTTAAAAAAAATAAAAAATCAAAGGAATCTAGAACCACAGTTGTGTCTCTCAGATGGTTAGTGATAATGTTGTACTGTTATTTCAGATAAATCTGCAGAAGAAGATGCGAGTCACCGGAGTTATAACTCAAGGTGCCAAGAGAGTTGGAAGTCCAGAATATGTAAAATCTTACAAGATCGCATACAGTAATAATGGGAAGTCATGGACAATGTACAAAGTAAAAGGCAAAAATGAAGATATGGTAAGATTAAGTCATCTGTATATGAACACATCTTATGGTTTAGCTGCCTTCAGAGGTATGAGGTATCTCTGGTAGATAAGTATAATTGCCTGACAGTATGATATAGTTTGCTTTGTTCTCTAAAAAAAAAAAAAAAAAAAAACACCAAACCAATAAATTTGCACTTTCTGTCTGCTAAGAATTTCTTATACTTTAATTGATGGTTGTATAAATACTGTGTCCCAAAGCTAGAATAATCCTGTTTATTACACTTAACTGATTTTCATTTTAATTAGTTTACCAGTAATTACTCATTACTCTGTTTTCAATTTAGTTTTATTACATTGGCAGATTAGTGTTAACCCTTAAAAGCATAGAACCCATTCATCAATGCTAATCTCTGTACTGCACAAACAGTATCAACCAGTGGGAAGTATGTGTTTACGGTTTATAGTTACCACTTATTTTTTATAGACTTGTGCACACAAAGCAACAAAAATCTCTTTACTCTGTAAGTTAAGATAGAACTAAGGCACTTGCAGCATTAGTCATAGTTTATTAGGAAATTAAAATGCTGTGTGAAGAGGTATATAATGAAGGAAGAAAACAAAGTACAACCATATCTGGTTAGAGTGAGGAGTGAATTGAAAAGAACGCTTGTAGGTTTAATTCAGCTCCCCCTACGATCAATGAGAGGGTTACGGTGCACTTCAGTGGGAGTTGAATCAGGTTTTTGAAGTAGAGGGGAAAAAATAAATGTCAATCAGCATAAATAATGGCAGGCTAAATTGAATTGGGACTATTTAATACACTAATTAGAAAAGAAGACATAATTTAATTGCATTAATAGCTTCAGTTTCTAGGAGTGACAAGATAGAGGCCCTGATTCAGTGCAGGTGGCAAACATGCAAGTGCAAGCCAATGGCAGTATGTTTTGCTTAAAAAATTGTGTGCTGGGCACTAGAAATGATAAAACAACCTCTCTTTGGGGAAAGCTTGCAGAGAAATGTGCTGGGATGGTCAGCAGAACAACACGGCTATTTTTGAGGTATGAAAATCAACTAAACCTCCAGTAATCCTCCTGGCACATTTTTATGAGTATGTCATTTTATCACAGGTGTTTCGTGGAAACGTGGACAACATCACCCCATACGCTAACTACTTCACCCCTCCAATTAAGGCGCAGTACATACGGCTGTATCCTCAGGTGTGCAGAAGACACTGCACACTGAGAATGGAACTTATTGGCTGCGAACTGTCAGGTGAGTTTTCTGCAGTCACCGCATCTCAGAAGTCAACCATCAAGCAGCACATTTTTTGTGCCCAAGTTGTAAAGCATGTGCAGTTTATTCCTGGTGAAATGCAGTTGGCAGAGCTGAGTTTATCCAGATAGTTACTTATCTCTTTTTATGTAAATTATATAAGCAGCAACACTTACCTAAATGATGTAAGTGACATAGTTGCTTACAGTAGGGCAGTAATAGCAGTAGAGTAGTGTGGTAGCAACCTAATTACACTTTGTAAGTCCTTCTGCGCACATTGGCCTCCAATTACACGCGACCTAGAAAAGGTCATTTATTGCAGTTTTAATATCAACAGCTATCAGGACCTGTTAATATTACACACTAAGCAGACCATGAGACAGAGAGTCTCTAACTCACAGTTACACTTAGCACAGCCTAAACTAAGCACTGAATATGATTTCTGAGCACCAAAGCTGTTTGTGCAGCGCTGTACAGCAGAGTCACGGCAAAAGCAGGCATCAAAGCTGATTTGAATAATTTCTCCTGGCTGCTGGATGACTACACTGATGTGCTCTGTGACATCCTCAGAGGTACAAGGGTGCTTCAGCTGCCATCAAGGACCACTCAACGTTGTCCTGGTTTTCAGCTGGGATAGAGTTAATGTTCACAAGAAGCTGGAAGGGGACACAGCCAGGACAGCTGACCCAAACTAACCAAAGGGATATTCCATACCACATGACATCATGCTCAGTGTATAAAGGGGAGCTGGCCAGGCAGGAGGGTTTGCAGCTCAGGGCCAGGCTGGGTATCGGGTTCTGGGCGGTGAGCAAACTGCATTGTGTATCACCTGCTTTGTATATTCTGTTATTAATATTGTTCTTGTTATTTTCCTCTTCCTTTGCTGTCCTAGTAAACTGTCCTTATCCCAACGCACCAGTTTTACCTTTTTCTTCCAATTCTCCTCCCCATCCCAGTGGGGGGAGAAGTGAGCAAGCAGCTGCGCAGTACTTAGTTGCTGCCTGGGACTAAAACACAACAAAAGTGCAGTAAGATATATTTTGCTGGTCTGCTTTAGCCAAGATTTCAGTTTAAATTTGTTTTGTGGGTTTCTAGCAGAAGCAGGGATTGTGTCTCGTAGAAAAAAGTAAGTGAACAAGTGAAGCCAATATAAACCTTCTTAAGGTTTGTAGTAGCAGAAGTTATAGCTCATAAATGTAAAGCCTGACCTCTAGCCACTCTCTGCAAGAACCATGTTCCCTTACAAATTCAGTAAAGCATGTAAATTTTTTATCTTTTTCAAGAGCTCAACCTTTTACTAGTGGGAGCGCTCCACTGAATTCATTTAAGAATGATTTTTATGTGGCTGCCTGCTTACTGTACAAACAATAGTCATCCAGTTCACGAATGATATATCAAAACAGCTGGAGTTAAATAATTCTCAGTCCTCTAGTGGCATCAAAACCAGATTCAGAAATGAAAAGTTAACGCATTAATCTCACTGTAGCCCTTTTCCAATATAGATAGGTTTGAGAGTAAATAGAAAATTCTGTCTAGCTGCTTTAGTCTATTAGATTTTTTTTTTTATGTCTTCCATTTCTGGAACCACAATTTAGAGTAAGTCCTTGCCAGAATGACCAGGAATTGTTTTGCTCAAAGAACTGTGAAAGCTACTGAAGTGAATTCATTTCACTGGTCTCCTAACAGTTTCAAGGTCATCATTTCTTAGAACTGCAGGCAGCCAAGGCTCAGCAGAATAATTTTAGTCTTACTAAAAGAAAAGTACAATTACACATAACAACAGACTAATTCACTCTAATTCCAGGTGGTCTATCTTAGGCTGAAAAACACTTTGTTTCTCTAACAAGTCCTAGTGCTAGAGAAGAGAGTCACTACTAAGTGACTCTACTAAGGGAAGGAGACTGTCTCACAGCACCAGATCATCACAAAAACTAATTATTTCTTAGGACAAATTTCAGCAAAATGTTTGATATAATCTGCTCTAGGCTCATAAATAGCTTTACTTACCAGGACCCATGGTCAGATCTTACTGAAAACCATGATCAATGCTTCTGGAGTTAGCCATCAATAAATTAGGCATTAATTTTCATGGCCTTGTGCCTTCCTGCCTTACTTGTGCTTTGCACATCTCTGTGGTGTAAATTCCCTTCTCTTCATAGAGTATTGATGTGGGGGAAGAAACAGCTCACAGTTACTGTTCATTAGAATGCCTTTATTCATAAGCTGTTCTTAATAAAGCTGTTGTTTTTAAAAACCAGTAACTTCTCACAACATAATCACTTATGCAATTCACTCACACACTCCAACATCTGCATATAGCAGGCTCTGCCTTCTTGCATGCTGTTCATGTCATACATGGTTGATGCTTGTGTATGTTGGTAGCTGTGTAACAATTCAGCAAATTCTTGGTATTCTGAGTTTGTCAGTTCTGGCAGTGGGATGCAGGTCCCCACAATTTAACCACCCTTGTGAGACTTATAGCATCTCCTGATCATGCAATTTTCCTCTTTTTGGCATGTTCTCTGGTAACTATTTCTCTATCCTAACAGTACCTATAACTACCATTCACATAAAGTCACACGCAAGGGGAATTTATAGCATCTGCATTTAATACTAGATTCCCCTCCCCTTGTTCATCTTCATCATTATCTAATCTGGAAAGGAATACTATGTTCATATTAGGAAGAATCTCTTGGTTTTCAAAGAAGAAAAATATCACAGTGTTAATCAAAACAAAATCACTTTGCCCTCAAATAATTGACCTATGCTGCTTTTGCCTGTACTGCATGAATCCTGGCCCAAGACAAGAGCCATGTAGACCTTTGCATGCAGATCCATTTGTGGTTTTGCCCCCACTGCACTGGATATTTAATATTTCCTTTGATAGTTTGACCTTTCTTGAAAGAAGAGGTGGATGAGTAGCATGGTACAAGGTGCAGACCGAACAGTAAAATATTATGCCCTCAGAAGAGTCAACAGAGAACAACCTTTGTTTGGATTTTTTCAATTTTCAGATACTAAACCACACTCATCATCGTTATTTCACTGCTCCTGTTTCACTGAGCTAAATCAAAAAAGAAGCAACTGCAAACTTACACCTAGATAGGTTTAAACATCACAGTTTACAAACATCATCATTTATCACAGATGGTGATATCCAAAACATCTCAGACATTTTGACCGAAGATGCTCCACTGAGCATAGCCATAAGTATGTCTACATGAGCTCTCACTAACTGTAGCAGATTGTAAAAATCAGAAGGAGGATTGAATCCTTTTGCAGGGACTTTGCAAAGCAAATTTAAAGAAGATACAGTGCAGTGAAGAGATGTCCCAGGGAGTCATGACCATTATTATAAATACACTTCTATGAGTGTATGACTATCTACAAACACAAAGTTCTGTACCAGTTTGATGACTTTGTCCTTTGCAATCTAGGTTATAGCTCACCTATCAAAATAAATAGTTATCATCTGACACTGTAGCAGGGTGCTATAGGAGCTGGGAAACAACTGGGTCTGCTGTTGCTCTCTGTGACACAGCACTAAGACATTGTTCTTCCACCCATGTGCATCATGTTCATCTCTTCTGGTTCTCATTATTCTTCTCACTTTCTTCCATTACTTTGAAAAACTATCTTCCTCCTCCCTTTGGGGCAGTGGAGAAGGAAGGCAACTGTAAAATCCTATTAATGCATGCACACATGCACAGACACACAAGCAGACACATCTGTTGTTTCATAAATCAATAATAATACTCAGAAGAGATAGAAATATTTTTGATGGATTGGACTAACACAGAAAAACAGTTTTGACAACCCATGTTTTTGTGTCAGGAACCTCCTTCAGATTCCCCAGATGAAACATTCCTGACCTGGAGCAATACTTCAGAGTTGAATAATAAGCAAAGTCCTTCTCTAAAGCAACAGATGAGTCTCTCTCATTTCCGCCATCAATTGCTCCCTCCTACTCCAAGAAAAATTGTTTTGTGGTTGTTTTGAACTAGATAGTTCATTCTAGAGACAAGGCTGTGCAATTTCCATTTGTGCACTGAGAATCAGTTCTGAAAGTTTGGGCTTTTTTCAAAAATTAACTCTGTTTTCAGTTTGTTTTTTAATTGAATATGAAACATGAGAGTATTTCAAATTTTAAAGGCAGTTGTTACTACATGAAAGAGCATATTATTGTTATTATCCATCTCTGGTAATATGCTTTTGCTCCTGCTATTAGGCCCCCAACAAAGGCCCTGATCTTACCTTCCTGATTTGAATCCTCATAATTCCACTTAATTCTGTGTGTTAAACCTACGGGAGAAACAGAAAGTAGAATCTGACAAAAAGGTCTTTGCTAATAATATCAAAGAAACTGAAAAAGAATCAGGTCTTTAAATCTGGGTAAACATACTGTGGAGGAAATGAACTTTTAAGAAAAAGAGAACCAGCTTTGATCTCCAGCTCAAATAAAGTGAAAAACCAAATAAAAACTTTGAAGATGTTTTAAGTGGTTACACTGTGCTCTGGCTCTGTTGAGAGACACCAGCTGAGTAAGGTCATGGTCCCAGCAGGAAAGCCTTCACAACTTGTATTTGTGCTTTAAGAAACACAGCTGGTGACTCAGCAAATGATTACCTGATAGGAACCAGATCAGAGATGCGGGATGTGTGTGTCAGGTGGAAAATCTCTGTCCTCCTAATGATACATAAACTCAGGGTTGTGTGTATTCATGGTGATGGTGCACTCCTTGAAAAACCATGTATGTTAGATCCTGGGCACACTCACACTCAGAGTTAGAATATGTTAAAATATTATTTGCAATCTAAATGCGTTCAATCAGATACTGAACTAAGTAGGATCACCTCATTTGTGGAGTTAAAACTTTGGTACAGCTGCACGTATACAGGTTTTTGACAGCTGGGACAGGAAGAAAATGAAAAATCTGCTTGTGTTTTATGTTCCCATCTCCATTTTTCACCTTTTCCTCAAACAACCATCAAGCATTACTCCCCCCAGCCATACATCCACCTTCCCTGACCTCTTAGCAGCCTTCTTGCTCTCAGCCGCTTGACTTGCCTCTCTTTTCCTTATTTATTTTAGTCTTTAAATCAGGCAGCTCATCTGCCTCCCTTGACTTCCAGTACTGTTTTTACAGTGCTGCTATCCAGGGGCATCTACACTGTTAGCTTGTGTCTTCCATCTTCTGGGTCCCACTGTACAATAGCAAGGCAGAAGAACATCGAGTGACTTTTTTTTTCTTTTTTTCTCATGGACACCCAACAGAGAAAGGAGAATCCCAGGATCTGTCTTTTGCTACAATCACAATAACCCAATGATGTGGGACATGCACCTGGCTTAAACAAATAAGCCATTAACTCTCAGTTTCTCCTAAGCGATTATCTCCTACTATTCTCCCTCCTTCACAGTTGTTTTTCTGTAGTCTTCCACTCCGGCAGTGGGTGTTGGGACTTCCTAAGGTTTTGGCTCGATGTCAAGTAATTCAAAAGCATAGAAGAGCTCAGTGCTTGTTAACATTTTACTTCAGCAGTAGCTTTAAGAAAAAATAATGTTTCCTTAGTAGGCAAACACATGGTTGATGTGACATGGCATAAAAGTGTGATAAAATCAAACTGAATAGGGGAAACAATAGCAAGCTGCTGGACAGAAAAAATAAAACTTAGATAAGAAGAGACGAAAATAATCTTTCTGTTTGTTTGCCTTCGTAAATTTATGCCAGGATAAAATACATTGAATTCTCTATCTTGTTTTTGATTCTTCCAAGGTAATGTTGAAATAAAGTGCCTTGAATTGGCTATTTTTCATTGTTTGTTTGCAAGTTTCTCCAACAATAGTCTTGATTAAAGCCTTTTCTTTCAGAATTGCTAGTTGTCTTTTCCATAACAGAAAACCTAAACCACTTACAGAGATAAGTAGGTGGTGCCACAGATCTTATTTTCCTGTTCCAGGTTGCTCTGAACCCTTAGGGATGAAATCAGGACACATTCAAGACTACCAGATTTCTGCCTCTAGTGTTTTCAATACCCTCAACATGGATATGTTCTCTTGGGAGGCCAGGAAAGCCCGGCTGGACAGACAAGGAAAAGTTAATGCCTGGACCTCTGGCTACAATGACCAGTCACAGTGGTTGCAGGTAAAGTTCCACGTACATTTTCCCAAATGTTTATGTGTTTGTTTGTGTTTCAAGTATGGGGATGGTTGGCTGCTTTAGGTTTTTATTGATATTCTTCAGTTTCTGAGTGTAACCATCCTAACTCTGCCACATATAGACGGTGAAGCTCTGAAAGCCCACACAGATCTTTCTGTCTTTGGTACCTCAATTACAGAAAAGCCTTGTGAGGGAAACCTTCACCTCTACTAGCCAAACTTTAAGAGTTGCCCAGCAGCCATGAATTTTCCTTTGTTAATGGACACAAATAGTAATTGCAGATCTGTTTCACTGACTTCTGCTCTTTTTTTTGAGTTATTTCCCCCCACACCCCTGCTTCTTTCCTTCCAAAGCTCCCTGGAAAAACAGCTTTGTGCATGTTAGGAAATCTGGCCGATAGAAATTATCTTTGTCTAATCAAGACTACTCATAATTACCTTCTGACATCGCTCTGAAGCTAGCAAGACTGATTCAGCACATGAATTCATTATAAAGTTGTGCACAGGGGTTGTTTACAGCCTGGGAGTGATTTATAGAAGTAAGTAGTACACTAATGTGAAAGATTGGAATAAATCACTGATATGGAAGTCTATTTGACCAGTTGCTGACACATTTACATTTTCTGAACTGTTGACAATAGCAGTGTTTTGAGTCATCTGCCAGTTTGCAGTGCAGTTCTCAGTGGGAAGCCTCAATAGCACTAGACGTGGCTACTAACCCCCAGCAATCTTTTCACATATAAATTATGACATATTATCTTGTTTACCTACAGTTGCTCAGCAATTTAGCAATATGATTACTATTCTTTTTCCCAAGTTTACACACGTACTGAAAGGGAGGAGCAGTTGCCTTCTCTATTTAACTTTTGAATAACTGAGGATCCTGGGATTTGCTGAAAGTTTTTTTAGAGCAGCTTGTTGAAACAGCAGTTAGTGACTTCTAGAAAGCAGGAAGATTTTATTGCTGTTTTTTACAGTGGAGACGCAGATTAAAATGTTTCTCCACATGAAAGACAGGCAGTTCTATCATATTTAGCCCCATCAGTGATACCAAGAAACCAAGAGTGTGCAGAGACTGCACAGAAATATCCTGTGGAGTGTTATTCCTCCTGTAAGTGGATTTTTAGTTAACTACAGATGGCGAGAGGCTGCAGAGTTAATTCTTGTATTCTAAACTTTTCCATTCTGTTCTAAATCTTGCTATACTTGAACCTACCTGAACCTGCAAATTGATTCTGACCACTTGCACAGTCTCTGCAAGTCCTTGAAGTATCAGGCATACTATTTCTCATCAAGTCAAAAGAAAGTTGTGAAGAAATACTCGTCTTTTATTTCATTTGTCACATGGCTATGATAAGAGTTCAGTAACTTCACAGATATATGACCAATTTACCCTTTCCTGAAAGTCATTATACTAACGATATTTTTCTAAAAGAGTATGACAACATTTCTTGTTTGAAAATAAACCAGGTGGCATTAAAACCACTTGTTTTCTCAGTCCTTAGAATGGTCATTAACTTCTACTATAGGCTGATTTATTTGAATTCAGTCCACAAGTAGAGATGGGCTCACATGCTTCAAGTCTAGGTAATGATTCTGTAAGAAAGACATGCCTCTCATTTAAATTCATCCATTCATTGTTGTTCTTTTTGCTGTTTCTTCTTTAAAATGTACAGTATTGTATTGGAACCTTTTAACACACTGACTGCAATTTTATCATCATGCTGCTTTCATAAAGTTTAGTCAAAACACATTTGTAAGAAAAAGAGTGTGAAAACAAACTTATCTATATGCCCTTTACCGTCAGCAATTACATATTACAAGGAATGATCCCAATAGCAATTCCGTGGTATCCTAAAATGGGCTTAAAGTAAGACAGAGATTTCTGGATTTTGCTAAAGTAGCTGGCCTACCAATATGAAATTTCAGTGTTAGCTTTCCATGCCTTTTGAATTTTCTCCACATGCCTTATTTGGTTTATCTTTTATAATTTTCAATAGAAAGCCTATAAGATGGGGTAAAAGCCTACTGAATGCCTTTAAAAATTATTAGTGTAGTACGTGGTATGTGGATGACTTTAACAGATCTGTTCTGACTTATATTGGAGCATATATGCCCAAATGCCATTGCTATCAACTGTGCCTCTGTTTAAAAGCTTGTGTGCTGACACATATCTCAGAGCACCTGCTGTGATAATGGTTGCTAAGAAGCAATGTTTGTATCATGTGTATAAGTGCTACTTGCTACTTATGGGCAGTTTACAGCACTTTTGGATGAACCCTGGAGGTGAGTTCTTCTCCGTCATAAGCTGGAGTTGTTTTATTCAGTTTTCTCTCGAAAATGCTGAAACTTCTGTGTATTTTAAAATCCTGCTGTTAACAAGTATGGTCTTTGTTTTAAAGTGTTCTGGATCGCTACATCCATAGTTTAGGTCCAGAAGGCAGGAATATGAAGTACTATGTGGTTCCGCACACAGACTGTGCATTTTTAGGTTCAAGAAGAATACTCACCTTATTGGTGCTGCCATTGTTGAAAATCTGTTGTGATCTACATTCTACTCACTCACGAACTCCAGGTTCCCCACACAACACTCCTTTACACCAACCACCATCATCACTAGTAATGGAAGAAAGTATTTTTGTGATGTGGGGGAAAAGTTAATGAGATTAGATGACCAAAATCATTCTTTCCCAGTTCATAATCTGGGTCTGAATTCCCCTATGTGCTTGCTCAAGGGCACTCTTCCCATTCCTTTAAAGATGATGCTACAGAAGCCATGTCGGTTACCTGACCTGATTCATAGCACAGGAGCTTGGTAACCTGCCTCTTCAGTGTCTCTGTACTCATTACAGTAGAAATCTATGCAGCTTGGTGATACAGAACAACATACCTGTTCAGGTTTGGTACCAAATCTAATGCAAACAATCAGTTCAAGCAACTTCCTCTGCTCCTGAATACTTTTCTTTAGGGATTTCCTTCCTTTTGGAGACATCTCTGTGAAATTATCTGAATAATAGTAGAATTAAAGGTTGGGGGGAGGTAAGGAAGTGATATTAAAAAAATTAAAATGTAATGGTTCACTTCCCATAATTATGGGCAAACTTAGCATAAACTAAGCAAGGTAGAACATTTAAGGTTAATTATTGAGGAAAGAAAGAAAAGCCTAAATTTCACTTTCCTTCAAGGCAGTCCCTTTCCCTCATTACTTTGATTTGGTTATTAGCATCATTTGCTACCTTGAATCAGCTGTCCTGGTTTCGGCAGGGATAGAGTTAATTTTCTTTCTGGCAGCTGGTTAGTGCTGCGTTTTGGATTTAGGATGAGAATAAAGTTGATAACACACTGATGTGTTTAGTTGTTGCCAAGCAGTCAAGGCCTTTTCAGCTTCTCATACTGCCCTGCCAACGAGAAGGTGGGAAGTGCCCAAGAAGCTGGGAGGGGACACAGCCGGGACAGCTGACCCAAACTGACCAAAGGGATATTCCATACTGCATGACGTCATGCTCTGAATATAACTGGGCGTTGGCTGAGAGTGTGGTTCGGGAACTAGCTGATCATCGTCTCTATGTGGTGAGCAATTGTATTGTGCATCAATTGTTTTGCATGTTGTTGTTGTTATTATTATTATCATTATTATTATCATAATCATTATTATAATTATTCTCTTCTTTTTCTGCCCTAAACTGTCTTTATCTCAACCCACAAGGTTTAGGTTTTTTTCCATCTTCAATTCTCTCCCCGATCCCACTGGGAGCAGAGCGGGGGGAGTGAACAGCTGTGTGGTGGTTGTAGCTGCCAGACGGGTTATACCATGACACCAGCTCACAGGCTTTTCCGAGGATCTCTTGCTGAACTACCATGACCAGGCTGCTTTCCCAGTTTGGGGAGTGCTTCCGCGCCTCCTGGACACAGCCCAGGACTGTCATTCCAGTTGGTCACCCCACTTCCCATTTCTTCAGTTATTTGGCATTAAAGGAAGTGTTAAAGTACTTCCCGCCTTAGGCCTGGAATGAGGCACTGAGGCTGTAAAGATTATTTAAAATGATTCCTACTGATCTTTCAGATGCTTGGTGACTGCTGCTGTAAACGGGTTTTCAGCATTATGTATCTCATTTTCTTAGCTGAGACTATCATTCAAAAGAATTAACATTTTCCTCAATATCCATTCCCACTCTATTACGAATTTTCTGCACTTTTAAATTATGAAATCAGGACAGAGGCTTAAACTCTCTTTTCTCTATTTACTGTTAGTTAAGTTTTGGTGTTTTAAAATATTTCCTTGTTTCTGCTAGGTCGGCAGATGCTATATCCGTCACCGTATCAATTTCCCACTCTCTCTCACTGCCCAGTAAGGACAGCAAGACCTTGTACTTTAATGCCTTTGCCTGTTTGTCCTTTGCCTGGTGCTTCAGCACGTAATTTCTCCAATGCTGTTCCTCTGATCTGCCATCCTCTGCAATACTCCTTGGAGCTGAGGCACCTTGGTTTGTTTGGTGTTTCCAAACAGCTGGACCTTTCTTCTCCCCCACAACATTCTCCTTTGCATAAATTGTTTTGTATGTTATCCTAGTTCTAACTTTCTAATTGTACACAGGTATTGGTAGTATTTTATCTTCAAACCGGTGATATGCTGGGTTTTTTGAAGGCCCATATCTCTACAGAGCACAGCTGGATGAAAAGGATGCCCATCTTGAAAGCCTGCTGAGGTTCCTTTTATATCTCCATATTATCTTCAGGTCACCAGCACCACTGCAGTACCTTTACGTTTCTAGTTGTACTTAAAACTTTAAAACTGTTTACTTGCTGCAGAAATGACTTTCATCTGGTTGCTTAGCTCGTATTTTGCTGCAAAGCTAGTGGAAGGTTCTGCAGCTTGATGTGCATGAGTAATAAACATTATACAGTTAATTCACACTTTTTTTATATAGTCACCATTGAACTCCAATGATTTAAAGAAAATCATCCCTCTCTTAAATAGTAGAGTGT